CATTGTTTCTTTTGATGAATCAGCTGCCAGTCATATGAATGTTCCCTTATATGTAATTATTTGTTTTTCTCTTGCTGCTTTTAATATTGTTTCTTTGTATTTAACCTTTGGCATTTTAATTATGATGTGACTTGGGGTGGGCCTCTTTGGATCTCTGATTTTTGGAATCCTCTGAGCTTCCTGGGGTATTAAGTCCATTTCCTTCACCAGGCTAGGCAAGTTTTCCATCATTATTTCTTCAAACAGCTGTTCAACATCTTGATTTTCTTCAGTTACACCGATCAGACGAATATTTGGAGCCTTAATAGTGTCCCATATCCTCCTTAAATTATTTCTATAGTCTTGCCATCTTTTTCCTTGCCATTCTGATTGAGTGTCCTGTTTGGCTTTCCTGTCCTCTAGAGAGGGCATGTGATCCTCTTCTTTATTCACTGTTTATTCCTTTGTTTATTCCATTTACTATACTTCTCATCTCAAATAATGTGGTCTTCATTTCAGACCGGTTCCCTTTTCTAATTCCCATTTCCATTTTTACGTTTTTTATCTCTTTGTTGAAGTTCACACTGAATTTATCTACACATCCCAAAAGTTCATTGAGCATCTTTATAGCAGCGTTTTGAACTCCGCATCTATTAGATTACTTAACTCCATTATATCTGGATCTCTGTTCTGTTCTCTCATATGATTTCTGCTTCTTTGTCTGCCCATTTTGACTATCTTTCTGTGTCTGTTTCTATGTACTAAGTAAAGCTCCTAAGTCTCCTGGTCTTATTAGTGTGGATTTGTGAAGTAGGTGTCCAGTGGCACAGTCCTAAGAGGGGCTCAGCTGCAGGCCAAATGTGGCCCAAGCCTCTACCCCTCAGGGGCCACCTGTTAAGATTCAGCAAGCAGTCCATAGATGCTGTGTTTATAGTTGCCTCAAAAGACCACACCAGAAATCGAGGCCAGCTGCCTCCACCAGTGTGAGTCTCAGCAAGGAGCACCTGACTCACTGAGGATACACGATGGGTGGAGCTCGAGTTGGGGGAGGTGGGATTTCAGAGAATCCTCTGGACGGAGTGACGTTTGTTATTCAGTTTGATGACGTCACAGCTATGGTGGCGCTGTGTCTGACGCACTGGTAGCAGGGAGGGCTCAACAGGGAACAATGGATACCGCCTGCACTTCTGTACCGAGTGGGTCTCGCCTCAGTCCTCACTCCGACAATGTCTCCCTTAAGTCCCTGGTGCCCCTGCACGCAGCCAAATCAGCACTGGTGCTCAGAGAGAGCAGGTCCATCGCCCTGGAAGTCCGCTCGTGGACGTGGCCCCTTTAAGAGGGGTCTGCTGCTGCCACAGCCTCCGTCTCACTCAGCCGCTCAGGACCGGGCAGCCCCGTGTCCTCGCCTCGTCCTACCTTCTGCCGTTGCAGAGTCCTTTCTTGGATTTCTCCGTAGTTGTTTGGCTTGTTCATCTAGATCCCAGGCGATTTTTCCTTGTTGCTGCTCCTTGTTTCCCTCACAACTTTGATTTGGTCACCAGAGGGATGAACAGAGCCTCTATCATCTACGCTGTCCCCCCACCCTAGGTCATTCATTTTTATTGCTGAGTAGTACTCCATGGCGTGGAGCACCATAGTTTTTTTTAACTACTCACCCTTTGAGGGACATTTAAGTAGTTTCCAATTTTGAGTTATTATAAAGTTGCTATGAGCATATGAGTACAAGTTCCTGAGTAAAAATAAGCCTTCATTTCTCTGGAATAAATGCCCAAGAGTAGAACCCTTAAGTCATCTGGCAAGTCCATTTTTAATTTTGAAAGGAAAAGGCAAACTATTTTCCAGAGTCAAATTGTTTTTGGAATTTAATTATGACTCAATTCCTAGAAAGATATTTTACTGTTTACCACTTTCTGGTTAGAGAACTATCCTTCTCAGAGTGCAGTGGAGTCAGAAGGACCTGGATTCAAATTCTGCTTCAATTACTTATTAGCTGGGTGAGCTTGAACAATATATTTAACTTTTTCAAGTCTCAGATTCCCTATTTGAAAAATAGGGATAATAATGCCCGAGATAGTAAGGATTTGACAAGGTCAACATGTAAAATATTGAGAGTAGAGCATCTGGTACACAGTAGTGAGTTAATAATAGCTCTTTCCACCCTGGCAAAATGATGGTAAAACATTACTCTCAACATGTTTGGTATTTGAAATTGTAAAAATTCAAAAGAAGCATATTAGCTCCGTTGTACATATTCTTTTTTACTAAACGAATTATCTATTGCAGATTCCTTATGCATAATTTTTCCTTGGCAAATTCATTTTCCCTTTCTTCCTATCAATTATATTTTCTGAAGTAATACTTACAACTCTTGGCAGCAGAAATGAGTTGGTGCGTCTCCGTTATGCTCTGTGGTTTTCCTCTCTTCTAGGTCAGTGAACAATTTCCTGATGACTGGTCCAAAGGTAAGAAAAAAGTTCCTTTTATTTATTTGGATTTCACTAATCTTAGCTTCTTGATGAAGTCTATACATGCCAATTTTTAAAATTATATCCATATCTTTTATTATGTTGTATATAGACAGAAAAAATGGTGGCACAGAGAGGGTTAGGGGCGTACCCCAAACCATACAGTAAACTAGTGTCAGAACCAAGACAAGAACTCAGGACTATTGATTCTGAATTTATGGCCAGAATTTCCAGAGCCAGAAAAGTCAACAGCCTTTCACAGTGTCAGGCTGCAGTCATACAGCCTTCTCAGTGCAGTGGTGGGATGCAGTTTTCCATCTTCGAAATGCTGGCATTTTACTGTATTATTTCTAACAACATTTCCAGTTCCAAAATGTTCTTTTCTAAGACAGTAATGAGATGAGAACAGTTGAAAAATCCATGAATTATGTAATCTGGGGTAATTTTGAATAATATAGTGAATAAAAGCTAGTGAGGTCTATTGTTTGATAAAGCTGAATTTCATTCCTACTTCTACCATTTGCTAGCTGTGGGACCCTGGGCAAATTGCTTTATTTCACCTCTTTGAGCCTCAGACTCCTGTTCTGTAAAGTGGTTCTTATTTCACAAGGTTATCTGTAAAGTTAAATGAGACAGCAAATTTAAAATGCTTACTGTGTTGTTATTTTGGAGGGATGGGAGAGTGAGCAGGAAGAGCAGGGCTGGCCATTTTAGGGCAAAAGTCTCCCAAGTCCAGCTGCTGAAGTCAGAATTTTGACTCCTGTATCCTTGCAGGCTTACCTGATCTACTCCAGCAGCGTGGCAGCTGGTGCCCAGAGTGGTATTGAAGAATGCAAATACCAGTTTGCCTGGGACCGCTGGAACTGCCCCGAGAGAGCCCTGCAGCTGTCCAGCCATGGCGGCCTTCGCAGTGGTAAGGAAAGCCTCGGCCACAGCTCCCTGGACCCCCTGGCCACAGGTTAGAGCCCCACTCTCCAGGGATGGCCCTTTCCCTTATTTCTCACCTGGTCTCTATTCTCAGGTCCTTTCTCTCTCTGGGATCTTCTCTGTTCCTCTTCCTTACCTATAGAGCTTTTTACTTTTTCCCCTAATACCTTCATTGCTCAATGAATGGACCTTGCCTCATCCCCAATCCTATACCATCCCTGGCTTCCTGGTTGGCTAAAGCCTTTCTCACATCAAGAGGTAGGTAGGGGCCGTAATTCTTTGTGCCTCTTAGCCCCTTCCTTTAGCAGGCTCAGCAGAGAGGTACAAGGCAAGTGAGAACTTACTTGGAGACCAGATTCCCGGAGAGAAGATAAAGAGCGGCCATGCCAGTAAATGGAAGAGCTGCCAATCAGAAGTTCTTTTTAGGACTAGCTGGCACATGCCTCTTAGTCTTCAGTGTTCCAGGAGGAAGTGGGCATGGGTTCTTTACAACCTGACCTTTAGATTCATCTCCTCCCCCATTTCTTCCCCAGGCTCTTTCCCCTCTAAATCCTTTCCAACTGTATATATCAACAAAAATCTAGTCACCTAATCATAAAATGTGTGAC